ATTGAGTTTGAAGAATGTCTATATAATTGGTATGTTACTGGTAAAGTTATACATGTAAACTTGTTTTCTCTATTATAGACTTATATATAATATGATCCATATGATAATTTATGAAAATTTGAGTTTTTAAGTATAATCATATTATTAAAGTTGAATGAGTGCAATTTAAAAAACGAAAAATGAATACCATAGGCTAGACAATTCCTTTCCAGCTTAACAATCTCATTGAGAAGTTTGTTCAAGCTATTAAACACAGTTTACCTTTATTTTGAAACAATGAGCCCGTTTGGTACTACGAAAATCAGCTGTTTTGGTTGATTTTGCAGAAATTTATGAACTTCTGGCTGAAGTGACTGCATTGCTTGGCTGATTCTGTTGATTTAAGAAAAAATTATATTAGAATATATTTTATCAATAAAATTAATAAAAAATTATATGTAAAATAGTTAAAATGGTCGTCTACAGTAACTTCACCCAATACAGGCAGAAAAGTAACTTCAACCTTACTTTTTCTGTTTATTACACAATTTAGCGAGCGAAAACAAAAAATACGTGTTTGTTGAAAAGGTTGGCTGATAAGCTTGATAAGCCGAAGAACAATGTTGTCAAATGGCCTCAATGACTTATAAAGTTAATTAGTTAAATGAACTCATTGTATAAACTTAGACATGAATAAAAATTCATATTCATGATTTTGAAATGTTTTTAAGATTTGTTTTCTCAATTACATCATTATCAACGAATTACTTTTTATGTTTCCTATATAAATTTTGAATTCCCTTTTTTGCATTTGAGTACCAAATTAATCATGTGTCATCATCTCAGTTTTTGGTGACAAATAAAAATGTACTCATGAAAATTTTAAAGAGTCAATTCCCTAAATAGGACAAAAAGTGGCAAAATTGCACAAATAGGACTACATTTTTTAAATTCCCTTAATAGGACTATTTGTGTGTGTTTGGAAAAATATACCTTTGTAGCTTGTGAAATGTTTTAATCAATGATAAAATCATAAAAAAATAATAAAAATCGAAAAAAAAAGTAATAGAAAATTAATAAAAATGTTTAAAAAAAATTAAAAAAAAATTAAAAAAAAATCACAAAATAAAAAAACATTGCCACCCCTGTCACCCTAGCACCACCATCTCCCATCACCGGAGAAAAATGTGCCAACATTTTAAATAATGTCACCCCTGCCACCCCAACACCAACATGTATAAAGCTTTGTTGATACTAATAAAACACGACAAAATTTCCCCTTTTTTAAATCATTGGAAAAAGTATTTAAACTAAGAGTTTAAATGATTGTTATACGTGTATTACATTTGGAATACATGTAACTACAGTTCATTTATAATAGCTTTTGATTACTCATAATATATATGACGTCGTATATGTATTACAAAAAATTACTCAAAACTAATTTGTATTTTTTTTAATTTTCAAAATTTATTTTATAAATTATGGAATTTTTTTCGTTTTCAATTAGAACTCGTCTGGGCTCCAATAAAATAAAGTCTCATGTTTATTTTAATGTGTTATAACTTTTTACTTGTACTACAATTGTTACAAGAAATATACTTCGTATCAACTTCATAATTTTTTATTATCTTTCATACGACACTAATATTGAATATATAAATATACGAAATATTTTTTAAAGTGCTAAATTATTTTGATTTTTTAAAAATAGATAATTTTCAATGTGATAAATTATATTTCAAAATAGATGTATAAAAAGTGTTAAATTATTTTTTTATTTTTATATACTCAATACTGGTCTCATATGAAAGATAATAAAAAGTTATAAATTATAGTATATTTTTTGTAACCATCAAAGTACAAATTAAAAAGTTATAGCACTTTAAAATAAATACTACGTATGAGATTTAATTTTTTTTAGTTACCTAGCTTTAGAAAAGTTTCTAAAACAACGTAACATGAGTTCTAATCTACCTATAATACTACTATTTAACCGAAGTATAATTACTAAATTGATATTTTTCAAAGTGTTATACTCCGTATTATTTTTCAAAATAGATGTATGTATAAAAAGTGTTAAATTATTTTTTCATTTTTATATATTCAATATTGGTCTCATATGAAAGAAAATAAAAAGTTAGAAATTATGGTATATTTTTTTGTAACCATCAAAGTACAAATTAAAAAGTTATACCACTTTAAAATAAAAATAAGATTTAATTTTATGAATTACATAGCTTTAGAAAGTTTTCTAAATCATACGTAACATGAGTTCTAATATACCTATAATACTAATTAATGGACGTATAACTTGTTTACCAAATTGGAAAGAAATTTTAAAATATTATAATGAGGATTTGTTTAGAGGATGACACATGGCAAAACTTTCCCTAATTGTATCTCTCAAATGTATTATGTATAGATACGTATACTATTATTTGATTTTAACTTATTACTTGTGATTGGCAGGGACTGGAGGTGTTGAAGGCTTCCCTGCACACCAAATCTGTACTCACAACTGTGTTTCTCGGCAAAAAGTCAACAGCTTGATTGACTGCCTCTACTTGCATTATTCAACCGCTGATGCTTAAATATTGTGTCCTTTATTATCTAAATAAATTTCTTAATGGATGGGTCTGTGGATCCTTAATTATCTAAATAAATTTCTTAGGTTAAACTTCGGACATGCTTGCTGGTTTATTAATTAGTGATTCCATAAATGAATCTGCCCATGCACCGTGGTTTGTTTCATGCCTTCAGATTCGATTTTTATTATATATATGCATATGCTGGATATTAGAAACATGTTTTGTTTCATATGAATCATGACCTCAAGCTTTGTCCATAATTCATATGAATGTGTATGTAGAAACATGTTCAAATAAAGTTTTGTAAATGTACTTATGGATCATAGCAACAACCTCTCGATTCAATAGCTCTCTCTCAGAATCACTCTTGCCTTCTACCTTATATTTGTAGATGATGAGCTCATACAAATCCGCAACAGTAAAATTATCCATCATTGGCTTCGAACATGAGTAGTTGTTGGTTGTGAGTAGAGCTTGAACATATATCTATAATGAGTGATGTTATCCTCTATACTGAACTGCACGGGCGAATGACCACTTTTGAGGAACTTGGCTCTGATACCACCATTGGGAAAAATCAATATTTTATCGCTTCATGAAATTGTGACGGGCAATTAAAAAGTAAAGGCAATAATGGAATAACACAAGTATAATTCTTTAATATGAAAATTCTTCCACTATTCAAAAGAATAGTGAGATTACAAGAATGTGTTTACAAAATTGACTCAATCTATAGTGGCTAAGTCAAGCCTGAGAAATAAGAATAAAGTCTTCCTAAGCTATCTCTCCTCTCTCAAAGAGACTCTCTCACTATCTACTTTATAATTTCTCACTCTAGGAAGTGTTATTAGTGAGAGAAGATATGTAGCTTTTAGCTACCATTAGTCGCAACAGGTTGTTACCCCCAATTGTTTTATGTCATGTTCCATTTATCTACAATAAAATGCACGTCTCAGTGGTGGACTCCGAAGTTAATTTTACTGGGTGGGGATGACGGGTCAGATCCAATTGCAGTATAGTTAGTGTACGTTTATACACTAGACAATTTTAACCAAAATCGATAGCACCAATCAAAATTTAAGCCCACGCATTCCGAATTTAGGTGCAGTTATGAGCACTTTTGGACATTCTAAATCGGAACATTTAGTGTTTTTTTAAAAGAAAAACATAATTAGAATTTCAACTTACCGCCCCATCCATGTATGGATGCACTAGAATTGCACCACTGAACTTTATTTCTAAATTCATATTAGAATTCTATATATGTTTTGGACTTTAAGAATAAGAACTAATAGCCCCAAGTTTTCGTTCCAAAAATAGAACTATATTCAACCCTACAACTGCAATATAATACCATCAATACCTCGAAAGAAATTTTAATTCAGATCCTCTCTTTCCACACTTCACACAATTCCATTTTATTATATGGGTTTGCATATTTAACTTTATTCTAATGCAATGACAACAACTTCAACATGGATTTAACACGCATTGTCACAATATTTTATCACAATGTCATGCCATTTTTTTGTGAAAACCTTTGGCACCAATTTGGGGGATTTCTGTCAAAGTTGTTCCACCATTAGATATTTGTAGTGTAATTTTTAAGATGAGTTTCAACAAAAGTAAAAATGATCCTAATATTACTCTTAGAGTTGTTATGGACAAAAAAGTAATTAAATGGCGTTTAATTCTCTTACCTAAATAACATAACTCATCTTCTCAAATGGCCACTTTGGAGAGTAGGAACCGTTGACGGATATCAACCTCTGAGCACATCCCGTTGTCGCCGCTGCCCTATTTCTAAGCACCACCTGCTGCCATGTTGTCATCCCTCCCATCGTGAAATTTGCTCCTCCACTTCTTCTATTTCTGTTGTGTGCGGCTAGAGTTGACATCACTGGCCATAAAAAATTGTGTTCATCCATTATTACACGTGGAATAATCAGATAAAAACTGTATTGGCGAGATTTGTCCGAAGAGAGAAAACTAAGAGCATCTTCAATGGTACAATGTATACGGTGCACACGTGGCATGAAAGATGACCACATAAATATTAGTAAATAAATTATTTCTCTCCTTATTTGAATGATTTTATACAGTTTTGGTAAGTTTTTCTCCACAATGTCAAGGAGACCGTCTAATGTTGATATTGTTGTTGACATTGCAGGGAAAAACTTACCAAAATTGCATAAAATCATTCAAATAAGGAGAGAAATAATTTATTTGCTAATAATTATGTGGCTCTCACTTATGCCACATGTGCACCATGGACATTATAGCATTTGAGATGCTCTAACTTTAAACATATACATATTTCTTCACATGGTTAAATAAGGAAATTTCACAAAGTTGTGTGGGACTAGAAAGACTATGTTTAGCAGTAATATATTAAACGGATCAATTGTTTTTAATTTATGGACCGACAAAGTTTGGACCAATAAATATTGTTGCAAGCCCAACTCGATTTTTCTGGGATTTACTTCGCCCTAGAAAGAAACATGACCTGATTTCGACAGGAGTATATAAGCTCCCTTCGGTATCCGAAAAAATTACGTAGTACGTAGTATAATTCTTCCACATTCAGTTCCAGGTATTTCATTTTACTCTCCTCCATGTATCTGATTCCATTAACCTCAATGAATAAGGACATTTATCAATTAAAAGATATGGCGGGCAGTTTCTGGATTTTTATCACTGCGTAATTATTATGGGTACCTTCAGATTTTCATATCATTAGCTCCACTCCACAGCTCAGTTCTTCATGTCATCAGTGCTTAGATTTCTTCATTTTGAGTGATCTGGTTCGATGTTCGAATCTGCGTTTGCTAGTTAATGTGTGTGTAGAACTTTAAATGTTTGGAGGCATAATCTCAGCTTTGAAAATGACACGCACATATTCTCCCTGTTTTTGATGTTTTTTTAGAAGCTTTTGTTGTTTGTTCTATTTCATAATTTATAAGATTATGCCTTGTTATTAACCTTAGATTACATTTATTAAAATTCAACCTTTACTTGAATAAATTGCCCCTAACTTGAATAAGACGCACATTTGAATTAATATTTGTAAATGTAGATAACAAAATTAAGACGCACATTTGATTAAATATCTAAATGGGAAAATCGCACTTTTAGTCTCTGAAATAGTCATGAAAATGAAATGTTAGGCCCGTATTTCTAATATTGTAAATCTCACTCCTCAATTATCCAAAATGTTGTAAATGTAGTTCTTTAAGGGTTAAATATACTCTCGCTCACATTGTATATTTCACCCCTCAAAGGACAACATTTACAACGGACAATTGAGGGATGACATTTACAAACTTGGGAATACAGGTCCGACATTTCATTTTCGTGACTATTTCAGGGACTAAAATGCGATTTTCCCTATCTAAATTCATTGAAATAGTTAAAAATGTAGATGCAAAATCTTGACGAAATGTACAACTTCATTTAGCAATTTGTTACCCCTTTATCCACATTTCCATTGTCCTCTCTTACTTTCTTATTAAGTACGGAGTAACAAATAAGAATTAATGGATGGAGTACGATACAACTGTTGATTTTAAGCATTTCGTTTTCCCATGTTAAAGTTGTTTCTTTCATTGACTGAATAAAATGTACTACATATTAAATTCTGAGTACTTAAATGATATTGTAGGGAATCTTATATAAGACATGGTGAGAGTTAGTGTTTTGAACGATGCTCTCAAGAGCATGTACAATGCTGAGAAGAGAGGGAAGCGTCAGGTCATGATTAGACCTTCTTCCAAAGTAATCATCAAGTTTCTCCTGGTTATGCAAAAGCATGGTACACTTTTATTACATTTCCCTGAATGTATATAACGGTTCTGCTTTTCAGGACACTTACTAACCTGCATTTGTGTTAACTGTTTATCTTATTTTAGGTTACATTGGAGAGTTTGAGTACGTTGATGATCACAGGTCTGGAAAAATTGTTGTTGAGCTTAATGGAAGGCTGAATAAATGTGGGGTTATCAGTCCACGTTTTGATGTTGGTGTCAAAGATATTGAAGGTTGGACTGCCAAATTGCTTCCTTCTAGACAGGTACCACCTGATAATTATCAAACATCTTGTTTTCTTGTGTATCATATTTTATGAATGCTGTAGTACCATTTGCAATGCAATTTATACTAAAGGAAATTATTTTCCAACTATGAAAGATAGCAGCGTAGAACCTTTTCCATTCTTGGGAGTTGAACTTTTGGCAATCCAAATGCCCAATCTTCCATATGGATAGATGGTTGTCAAATTTCATCTTGTCCATTAGGTTTTAGCTGCTCCAAATAAAGAACCACCAAAATATATATCACTTGGAGTTTCAATGGGAATTTTTTTTTGAAGTGGCTGACCCTACAATTCACCGGATGTTCATTGTCTTGGACACTGGGTCTTGATTGACCTTTAGCACGCTCACTTGGATGGTTTGATTCCCGGTCCAGTTCAGGCAACACAGTATTTAGTTTATGTTAGTATATCGGTACATTGCATGATTTTTTACTTTTCAGTTTGGTTACATTGTGCTGACAACCTCAGCCGGGATCATGGACCACGAGGAAGCCAGAAGAAAGAATGTTGGTGGCAAAGTACTTGGTTTCTTTTACTAGGATTCGTGTCTCCATTAGACAGAACCTCCAGTTCTGGTGTGCGTTTTTTTGTGTTTTCTGGAAAACATTATATTATCAATGTGACTAGTCTTTAGTAAAGACCAGAGGAGATTCGTATGTCAACCGTACCTACTCTACCGACATGAGTGGATCTTGGGTCAAATGAATCCAACGGAATCAAATATCCAAATATTTGGATTTGATTAATTTACTTGGAATTTGAAATGGAATCAGATTTGTAAAAGATGTTTGATACATTTTGGATTTGATTCAAATATTTATATTGTAATATACTCTGTATGAAGCAGTTTAACCTTAATTCATTATTTTCCCAATGAATGAATGTACATGAGTTTCAATCCGTGGTCAGTTTCAGTAGCCAAAATTAAGTCAGAGGCGTTTTCATATGAATCATATTTACAGGGCAACTCTAAATATTGGGCCATTGGCATGTAACATACCAATTCTCAAGAGTCTTGGAACCTTGGTGCACAACCATTACGAAAAAATAATATTAAAGCAAAAACAGAAAACATAAATTGTACCTGGCGTAGGGCCGTAGCTAGGGGGTGGACTCGCGCCGGGCGGCCCGAACCGGAACTGGCCCGGCCCGGTCACTGTTTTAACCGGCCCGGCCCGGTCACTGTTTGAACCAGCCCGGCTCGGCCCATGGGCGGTTCGGGTCGACCCGGCCCGGTGGCTACCGGTTCCGGGCTCGGGCCTTCATTTTTGTGAACCGGCCCGGCCGGTTCGGGCCCGGTCTGGGCCGGATTTAATATTTCTTTTTTTTTTTTAATCTTGTTTAAGTTTTTGGGTTGGATTGGTTATTTTGGGCCATTTGAGGTGGTTTGGGGTTGAGGGAGAGGGTAGGGGGTTGATTAGGAAAACCCAAAAAAAATATTATATAGAACCGGGCCCGGCCCGGCCCGAACCGGACCCGGGGGTTACCCGGGCCGGTTCCGGGTAGTGGTGGACTCTAGCCGGGCGGCCCGGTCCGGAACCGGCCCGGCCCGGTTACTGTTTGGCCCGGCCTGGCCCGGTGGGTCAACTGGTTCGGTTCGGCCCGGCCCGGTTGCTGGGCGGTTCGGGCTCGGGCCCAGTTTTTGGTGAACCAGCCCGGCCGGTTCGGGCGGGTTTTTAATTTTTTTTTTTTGAATTTTTTTTTAAGTTTTGGGTTGGATTAGGTATTTTGGGCCATTTGAGGTGGTTTGGGGTGGTTTGGGGTTGATGGGGAGGGATTGGGGGTTAAATAGAAGAGCCAAAAAAAAAAAAAATTAGAACCGGTTAGGCCCGGCCCGGCCCGGTTTGGCCCGGAACCGCTCACCGGCGGTTCGGGCTCGGGCCCAACTTTCCTGGCCCGAGGCCCGGCCGGGCCCAGGCCCGAACCGGGCCCGAACCGGCCCGAGTCCACCACTAGTTCCGGGCCTCCCCTACCTTGAACCGAGGCCCGGCCAGTTCAAGGCCCGAACCGGGCCCGGCCCGAATCGAGTCCACCACTAGCCGTAGCCCAAGTACCTAGCACCCATCCATGTCTGTGGATATTTAAAATCAGGGGCGGCCCTGGGGGGGGGGCAGGTGGGGCGGGTGCCCTAGGCCCAAAAAAAATGAAAATTTTTTAGGCCCAGAATTATTTCTTTATAGTATATTTGAGTAGGCTGAGTTTTAACCCAAAATTAATAATTTTGTACAAGTTCAGGAAGCCCAAGAACACAAAAGGCCCAAAATTGAAAAAAAGGAAGAACTAACGTGCAGTCCAATTAGTTAAATTTATAAATTTAACTAATTGATTAGCTATATTAAGTATTGAGCATAATAATGTCTTAGAAAAGCTTGATTATGACGCTATAGTTGATGACACCGGCCTTAGCAAGTGTATTGTATCGGGGCGTTATTTATCATTAAATAATTTTTTATTCGGTTATTTTGAAAACATTATTCGACTATGTTTAATTTAACGAATTCAAGTATTTTCTTTATTCTAAAGGTATTTAAATATTATTATTTTGCATTTTTATTTAGGTAGAAAAGTGTTTTACAATTTTTTTTAAAATTAGGCCCATTTTTTTATTGTTCGCCCCTAGGCCTTCGAATATCCAGGGCCGCCCCTGTTTAAAATTGGGAAAAGGGGCAAAAACACCCCTAATGTTGTCAAGAAAGGGTATCTACGCCCTTAAACTTTTAATTTGTGCAAAAACCTTTAAAATTCCTCAAAGGTGGGCATTCAGCCCCTTCTCTAACGGCGACTCATTTAAGAGAATTGGCAGACGACCAACCCTTAGTAGTTCCTTTGAATAACGAAATTTATTTTGGTTTTATATGTTAACTAATTTTGTAAATTAGTTGATTATATAAAAGAGTTTGTTTAAAAATTATTACTAAAATAAAATTATTTACACAACTATGACTAATAATTATTACCTCCGTTCTCTTTTAGTTGCAACATTAGACTTTTTGCACTATTCACATATTCTACTTTGACTATATTTTATTAATTAATGTATTATAAATTAATTTTTTTAAAAATATTGTTAAATTCTTCTCATTCTAAAATTTCAAAATATGAATTTTTTAATTTTTATACTGATAAGGAATGAGAGATATTAATGGTCAAATCCATGCATTGGCAAACGTGAAATGTTGACTGTTGCAATTAATATGGAACGGAGGAAGTACTATGTAAAATCCGTTTGGTAGTCTAATTTTCGTCTTGTTAGACTTTTCAACTAATTTTTTCACAAAACATGTAACTTTTGATTTCACGCGGTGAAATGTGAAATAATAAAAGAATGTAAACTTGGAGTTACTTTTCTTGTTATATTGGTTGAAATTACTATAGATGACTATTTTAACTAATTTTTCATATAATTTTTTATTTGTTTATCAATAAAAATATTTTAAATATTTTTTCATAAATCAGCATAATCAGCCAATCCAGTCACTTCAGCTAGAACTTCATAAATTTCAGCAAAATAAGTCGATTCAGCTGAATTCAGTGTTACCAAATGGGCTTGTAGTGTCGTCATGATAACTTAAGTTTGAAAATTAATAATAAGTTATTATGTTTCCATTACTACTCTAGTCGCTAGTCATATTTTTGTAAATAATCTTTATTTTAATCATATTTCAATTATTTCTTTTCTATATAAAATATAAATAAAACAATTAGAAATACCAGTAAGCCATAAAAGCGCCTAAGTAATGAAATAGGGAGTAACAATTATACAAAAAGGTAGTAGCAATTAGCTAGAAAAGAATTACTTTGTATTATGATGAGAGTCCGTTTGATAGCACTGAAATTGACTTAATCGGTTGTATTACTTGTATGTACTAAAATTGGTGAAATTGTGACCGAAGCGGCTCAATTAATTGAATCTACTGAATACAAATAAATAATATTTTTCAAATATCATGGCATTTTTCCATGAATATTACTAAATCGAATCCAAAAGACAAAATGTGAATTACTTCAAAACAATTCAAAAAAGTGACACATTCAATGACTAGTTCTTAGTGACTCTTCAAGCTCATTTGGAGCCCATTTGGTAAAACCAAAATCGGCTGTTATGGCTGATTTTGCTGAAATTTATGAGATTCTGGTTGAAGTGGCTACATTGGCTGATTATGTTGATTTAAGAAAAAATTATTTTTAAAATATAATTTATTAATAAAATAAAGAAAAAATTATATGCAAAAATAGCTAAAATAGTCATCTACAGTAACTTCAGCCAATACAACCAGAAAAATAACTTCAACCTTACCTTTTCTGCTTTTTTTTTATCCCGGAAGGCCAACCACCAAAATCATTGGGGTAAATGCCGGGGGACATTTACCATTATTTTATTAATTGAGAATGGAAATATAGAAAGAGAGGGACTAGGCCAAAACCTCTTAAGCCACAACAACAAAACATGAGCAAAAACAATAGCCAAGTTGGGAGGGCCAAACCTAACCCAAGCTGGCTCACAAAAAGAAAACAATCTCACAAAAAGAAAACAATCAATTTAAAACCCGCCTCAACCAAGAAACCCGGAAAATAATGAATTTTGGGCGCCAACTGGATTCGAACACAATAACCTGCACTAACGAATTACACCCTCCTGAGCCAACCGTGCTCCGTTCCTTACCTTTTCTGCTTATTACGCAATACAGCGCACTCAAACAAAAAATGCGTGTTTGGTGGAAAAGTTGGCTGATAAGCCCAAAAACAATATTGTCAAACGGCCTCTTGGTGACTCTGTTTTTCGGCTTATCAGGCTTATCGACCAAATTTTTAACCAAACACACATAACTTTTGATTTCGCATGCTAAATTGTGTAATAATAAGAAAAAATAAGGTTGAAGTTACTTTTCTGGTTGTATTAGCTGAAGTTACTGTAGATGATCATTTTAGTTATTTTCATATAATTTTATTTTATTTTATTAATAGAATATATTTTTAATATAATTTTTTTCATAAATCAGCAGAATCAGCCAATACAGCCACTTTAGCCAGAACTTCATAAATTTCAGCAGAATCAGCCAATTCAGCCGATTTTAGTGTTACCAAACGGGCCATTCATCTACTAGTAACTTGTCATTCTGAAAAATATTATACTGATTCTTGTCCAACTACTCGTACACGGTGACTAGTCATTTTTTTTTCCGAAATATACACAATTGAGTTAAAATATACTACATACTAAATCAGTTGATTTAAATTAGCTTGTCAAAAAAATTGATTGACAAGTCGAAATCATATACTACTGATTACCGAACAGGCTATATATGGTAAATAAGGCAAAAGTTATGCGACACAATTACACAAAATATAGTGTATTCATATTTCTTAATATTAATATCAAAATATAATCTTCCTTTATGGACATTAAGTCGAATGTCACTTTTTATTGGGTACTTCTATATGACTCATATATATTATATGCATTTCAACTAACTTACAAATATAGTTAATAGATACAATTAAAATTTATTCCGTTGAAAATGCAAAGGAGTGTTTTTAATACTATGTAGAGGTTAACGTACGGTGTTAAATGGGTTCACCGTAACCAAGCTCCTTTGATGGGTTTTAAAGGTTTTTGCACAAAAAATAAGTTTAAGGGCATATATGCCCACAACTTCAAGGGGCTTTTGCCCCTTTTCCCTTTAAAATTCGAAAAAATATACTGATTAATTTCAAATATTTTATGAAATGCCAAATTTGAGTACTTTTTCTTATTCAAATTGGGATTAAAAAATACGCGAATCTGATTTTGAAGTTTGGACATAGAATTAACCGAGAATACTTTGATTTGTTTGTACTCCAAATTTGCATATATTATGAGGATTTTCTAATTTAGTGTTCAA